ACCGAGCTCCACCGTCGAAGTACCTGTAGGGAAGAACACCCAACTCGCGATGGGCAGTTCACGCCGCGGGTGAACAACCCCGATCTGGGTCATGTACCCGAACAAGCGGCTTCGCTCCGCACGCCCGACGAATCTCGAAGAACGTCGGGCCATCCAAAAGGGTCGAAAAAGAAATCTCTCCTCGAGGTCATCACTTAGGCAAATTTGGCCACCGAATAGAAAGCCGAGCACGGGCACGACCCGAACAAAAGACTTAGGCAAATTTGCCAACAAAATCACAACCACGCACGGGCAAGACTCGAGGCCATAACTTAGGCCAGTTTTAGCACAAAAATATTAAAACATAAACACGGGCAAACAATCAAAAGTTGAAACAAACATTCATTCAAAAAGCCCGTGGGCAACAAAACAAATAGAGATAAACCGACCAAGAAGGCCAGCGATGTTCAAGAGTTACAAAGAACGGGCACGCAGGCCCAAAAAGTAAAATATGAATGGGCACACAGGCCCCAAAACAAACATCAATAAAGGCACGCAGGCCTACTGGAATCTCACAGCTAGACTTCCCCGGAGCTATCACCACCGACAACAGGAGACTCGGGCGGGGGCACGACCTAGCCGTCGATGATCTGAGACATGTAACCTGCTCCTTCGGTATTTAGATCGGGATTCAGCAGGGCGAGCTGGATAACCGCGACCTCAAAGCCATCCGCCAAAGCACCGACGCAATCCGCCTCGAGGAGTTGAATGCGAGCAACCAGTTCCGACCGACTTCGCAAAGGAGTTATCTCCTCCGACTCATCCTCGGCAGGGAGCATGACGGCCTTTAGTTCCTCGACCTCTTTGGCAAGCCGCCCGTTGTCAGCCTCCAAGCGTTCCCGGTCCTCACGGAAGTACTCCCTCTCCTCGGAAATCTTCCCCGAGTTCTCTTTCTCCGCCGCCAGAAGCTCGGCTTGCTCGCGGAACATCTCCTCGGAGCGCTCCAGGGCAGCCTTCAACTTCTGTGAACTCAAAGTAAGGGCATCTTTCTCCTGTTCCAGCTCCTTGATGCGATCAGAATCTGCCCCCTCCTCGGCCAGCACAACGGCCATCTCGGCCATCTTGACCAGCCCAGCCATGTTGGCGGCCAGATGCCTCCTCCGACTCTCCTTGCTCAGCCGCATAATGGTATCAGCTTCATCAGCACTCACGGACAAGGGAAATCCCTCGAAGAAACCCTCCTCTTTAAAACAAGGGGGCAACCCGAAGGACCTCACCGCACTAGAGTCCTCGCTGACCTCCGGTTGGCTCTCCACCCGATTCCTCTTCCTTGGTATTAGGTCGGTATGTGGCTCGACATCCTGAGCGTCCGGGGACCCTCCAGAAACAGCGCCCGGGCTAGTTGGCAGGCCCATCCTCGTCGCCTGAGGAGCTCGCACCACTCTCTTGTTAACCTTCTTATCATGTGTCAGCTTCAGGAGCCTCTCCTTTCGTCTGACCATCAGACCTGCATAAAAGAATCCCAGGTTAATAACGAGCAAAAAACAAGCGAAGAAATTCAAACAAGATAAAACAATAATGACCTAGCAGGTTCGCGGCCTGCCCGAAGGACTGACACTCCACGAGCGGCTTCGTATCGATAGGTCGGGCTTCAAAGGTCGGATAACCATCTTCGTCAAGAATATCCTTCCCCTCCCTCGTGGCCCACCGGGCGGGGAAGAAACTGTCGACATACCAGCAGAGGGTACCATAAGCCTCCTCGTCTTCGGTGCTCATCTCACCCGCGGACGTATGGTAGTGCCCGGTGTCATGCTCGTAGTGACGCGAGGTCCAATGCAAAGGAAATTTGGCCACGCGCCCTAACACCGGGCGTCCCTCGTCGTCTAGAAGAGCCTCCCCGTGATTGTCGGTCACAACCGTTTCTTCCTCATATACAGACTCTAAACTCGTTTTGGTAACCGGCCGCACGATGTACCACTTGTCCTTGAAGCCCCAGACAGAATCCATGTACATCCTGAACAGTCTCTTCGACTGTTTCAGGGAAACCCAACTGTGCCTACCTCCCCGGGAATGGCGCTGTAAATGGAAGACTCGGAAGAAGAGAGGTATGGTTGCCCCAATCCTTAGAAAACGACACGTCAGCTCGAACTCCCGGATGAAAGCAATCGAGTTTAGGTGAAGCTGCGACGGGGCCAGCTCCAGATGACCGAAGACCCCGACCTGAAAATTGCTGAAGGGGAGCTTTAATCCCAGGTCCTTGAAAGCGATCTCATACATGGGGAACCCGTACTCGGGGAACTCCGAGCAAATCCGCGCAGTAAGAGTCGGCCTGGTGACAACGAGGTTCTTCTGAAAACCGGGCTGACTACCGCCCTGCTCGATGATGGTATACGCACTTCGACTTCTCCGACTATAGGCTGAAGCAATCCCTCTGGGCTCGGCGCCCACCCATTCCAGCAGAGGATCGTCGATGGTATCGACCAAATTCACATTTTCCTCGGCACTTTGGTCTTCCACCTCAGTGCGCCCCAAGGAAAACGGTCCGTCCGCCATTGTTACCTACAAAGCACAGGAAACCAGTCAATTGGGGAGTAAATCCACACGCTCGCCATAACAGACGGGAAGAAGGGCGCGACAAACCGTGTCACTCCACACACGACTAAAAAAGTTGGTGTTTCGGACAAAAAGAGTAGAGTCACCTCCCCGACTCCCAGATACCACGACAAGTCTTCCTACAGATCGCCTAAATGGGCCAACATCTCGACCACTCACGAATATGTCGACCTAGGCTATGAACATGGCAAGCGATATCATAAATCTCAAGACTAGAGCTATGAGTTTACCGGGCACTACCACGAATTAGGCGCCCTGAATCATGAAGATCCCGGGAAGCACCGCGAGTCAAATACCTAAACTATACATTTACCGGGCACAAACATGCGTTTGCCGGGCATAAACACGGATTTGCCGAGCCAAATACTAATCTACCGGGGCTAATCCCAGGCGTACAGTCTCTAGCGTCTAAAAACAACGAAAAATATCATACATCACAGAGGAAAAGCAAAGGGGACAAGACGCTTACTTGAAATCTGGAAAGAAGTGCGACGGCGGAAAGGGGAATCAGCGACGGAGAGCACGGCGGTCCTATGAATATCTGGGAAGAACAGCAGCAGCAGAGGCAGAGGAAAGAGGAGAAGCGCGAAGAGGAAAAACATGTTTTGGGGCCCAAGGACCCTATTTATAGTGATGACGTGGAATACGAAACGTCACCCCGGGGAACCACAGACTTCCCTCCTCGACGCGTAGCTCCCCTAGGCAATGATGACCCTATCGTCAGTAGGGTGGAGGCACGGTTCCCAAGAGATGCCTCGTGTGCTCAACGAACACAGCCCGTTGAGATTCCCCCGAGCACTCCTCGAAAGGAATTATCTCACGAGCCCGACACGGTGGAAACTCCTCGAGAAAACAACGGGGAACTACATCTCTTATCCGGGCACGGGACCCCGTGGCAGAGGCGATCTAAGATCAAGTCATGGCTCCTACTCCAGGAACCACGACTTGGGGGGCTCCTGTTCTGGACTGGGCCGGGCTGACCCAAAAGCAAGGATGAAGGCCCAATCCAAACGGCCCTGCAGGGGGTCACGCCGACCAAGAAGGTACAACCTTGTCCACGACATCCTCGACGCAATGCAGTCCAGCTCGACCTTAGCTCGAGCGCTCCTCATAGGGCAGACCATGACTATTACGCCACCACCTGGTTTCCGAAAAGACCGCGTCCCCGTCCGCCCGTACTTCTCGCAGAACACCCAGGAAGGAGACCACGTGCGGGTCCCCACTACACACGTAGAACCTGAAAGTTCCTTTATTTAGGTCAAACCTGCCCGACCCAATGAAGGGACCTTGGCCTAGCGCTGGGGGCTATAAATACCCTCTTCTCGCAGAACACCCAGGAAGGAGACCACGTGCGGGTCCCCACTACACACGTAGAACCTGGCAGTTCCTTCATTTGGGCCAAACCTGCCTGACCCAATGAATGGACCTTGGCCCAGCGTTGGGGGCTATAAATACCCTCTGTTCCCAGAGGGTCAGGTATTCATTCTCTTACCCATACTCATACTTTTTGTCTGCTCGTACTCCCACTTACTTTAGCATCGGAGTGTCTTGCAGGTACCCCATCTCGTTCAACTTCAGCTCGGAGCCAGTCGTGACGGTCCAAGTCTGATCTGGTAAGATCAGAAACTATATGATAATTTCTGATGTTTTTTTAATCATATGTTCTTACTAACAATTTATCCTATAGGCTAATGAACATTCACATAATCATGTTGTTGCCTTCATATTTTTTTACTGAACAACGATTTCACACGTTTGAGCATACTTCATAAAACTTTGTTGTCACACTTACACCATTTGCTTTAAAGTTTTTGTTCTAACAATTTTTACACCATATAATTTGCAAAACTCCGTCATCACCAAAATAGTAGCCTTCCCAATTTTTTCTAATACACGATTCCACAACACTTTATACACAAGAAAAACATTTTTCTGTCAACACACACTGTTTAGTCACATACTTCTCCAATTTTTAGATACCAACTCTATAAACCGAAAAATCTTACACAAAGTCAAAAAAAAATTTATTTACTTCATCAAAATTACACAAACTTCATAAATCCACCAATTTTAATTCATCCTTCAGACTGTTGCGTGTTTTTACTACGGACTACTATCCAATTCCATCAACTTTACGCACCATTAAAAAAAACTCACTACAATTTTGTTCTTTTAAATAGAGCCATAAACCCTTCACGAACATTAATCTCAACCTGTAAATTCATTATTACCAGGCTAACAACACAATCATCATCTGTCAAACCATAGCAAATAGTCAAATTCAACAAATCTATTCTTTTTATTAATTGCAGGTTGAATCAAATAAAATAAAGAAGAAAAGAAAAAGAAACTGAAGCATCAAAATGAAACAATGTTTGGGCTGACGCTTCCACTCGAGAACTGCTTCCTTACGAAGTTGCCGCGAGTCCTTCATTGGCACAATAAGAATCCATCGAGAGCACCATCTCCCTCTGTCCGCATGCTACCTCGGTCGCCGTCAACCTTTGCAGCGCCATCCAGCTCTGTTTCTGGCTACATCCACGATGCAATAGATTAACGACCAGCTCCCTCTGGTTATGTCCTGAACACACGACCGCCCAACATCCATAACCTCTGTCATTGCACCACCACAGTCGCCAGATCCGCCATCCGACCGCGCCCTCCATGCTACAGCTCCCGTCGGCTCCACCCTCCGACACTGTCGCAGATCCATACGCACGGTCAACCGCTCCACTGCAACCGCAACACAGCCGTCGTGGAGTCAACCGTCGATAAGAATATTCCTTCATTGTTAGCCTTCCTCCGCCGCCATGATTGTTTTGACAAATCACTCAGAAGAATAGAAAAGAAGAAGAACTAGCGAAATCACCAAACGTCCTCGGCTACTCCACTGCTTCGCAAACACCATCGACGAACCGTCGCACCTCCTTGTCGATCCACTCTTCGCGTGCACATCAGCCACGACACACCAGGCCTCGACACAAACTTCAGCACTGCGTCGAGCATAAATCCCCTCTCAACCAGAAGCATCATCGCCTCTCCGACGAATCACCGGTTACCGCCACCATCCTCGACGGCCCGACGCTCACGAAGCACCACTATACCGGTCGCACGCTGCCGTACGCATCGAATCCGGTGAAGCACACCTCCATTTCCCTCTGTGACACATCACCATGTTCATCACCGCTCTGGAATCAAGTTCGGTTTTCTTTTTGAGTTATTAGATTTCACTATTGTTTTTTTCTCTTTCGCTCTAGGTGTCGTTGGCATGCATAACAGGGAAGATGAATCGAGAGGAAGAGACCGCCGCTAGAAAGAAGAAGAAGAGGGATGTTATTTGTGTTTCTGTTTTATTTTTTTACTGTGTTTGTATATATGTTGTTTTTTTTTTCTTTTTTTGGTTCTTATTGTGGTTACATTCACATGCCAAATGTCAAAACGCTATTGGACAGTAAAAAAAATGGAAAGGGTCCGCATGTGTTGTGATTTTTTTAGAGCACATCCACGGTACATCATCTATATCTTTTTCTCTCTTTTGCTGTTACTCCACACTTTTTTTTTTCTTTTTTATTATTGGTTTATTTTAGTGAAGTAGGATTGGAATGTGTTTTGTTAGATAGGCTTGTAGATTCATTTGTGGGCTTAATATTTTTTCTACCATTTCACTTAATTTACACCATATTTCTAACTTAGCACCCCTAGTTTATTTGTTTTACCTGTTTTTATTTAATTAGATTAGCTAATAATTTTAGTTAAACATATCATTAGAATTAGCTAATTTCATACAAAAATACATAACTCATAATCTATTTTTTTAATTAAATTAATTAGTTCAAACATTTTATATATAATAGGATATCCACATTCGAGTAATTAAATCGGTTGACACATTGTTTACCGGTTTATTACACTAAATCAAACAATAAAAAAAATCACGCAATTACCAATGCGCGACACGTAGTCAATATCTGGCCACGTGGTGAGGAAGACTATATCATACTTCCTACGCATCCTTCATAACAAGAAGCATGAAGTCAATATCTGACCACGTGGTGAGGGGGCTATATCAGACTCCCCACCTTACGTCTCAAAACAGCTAACCAACGATAAATCATTTTTCCACTAACCTAATAAAAACTACAAGATATTTTCGAAAAAGGGTTAAGGAGAATTAATTTCAAGTTTAACTGCCAACTGCGTCTATAATCACCCAACTTACAACCCAGACAAAGTTCAAGGATAATTCGAAAACAATTCTACGCAACCCTATAAAAAACACCAACCCATAGGAACTACGAATTGGAACTCTGATTCCTCATAAGAGGATACGTAGGCACGCGATCTAAAATTATGGTGAGTCTTGCTAATTAAAACTTAAAACCCTGTTTATCCCAAACCTAAACAAGGTGGATGAAAGATGCCTAACACCTTCCTTTCATCTAATTGAGTCCGAAACCTAGAATCTCTGTCCGTGAATTAGGGTTTTCTGTTAGGTTTCCTTCCCTAGGATAAAAACTAATAGTGGTGACTCTTGATTAAAAAACCAGTTGCTACAGTATAGTCACACATTCCACATATCATACCTTTACATAACGACAATACTCTTATTACATATTGCTTTTTTAATCACACATAATCATCCACACATATCCACCATTATCATGTAGTACATACACTAATCAGACAACTCAACATCATGTTAACAATAATGCAATGCAATGAGACTGACTCGCAAACTCAATACATGTGGTACCAATATATCTCCTAAATGCACACTATCTAGGACCAGAGCCATCAATATCATGAACAATTTGGTTCACCTTGCTCCCGATCCACACCATCTAGGATCATGGACAACCAACATCATGAATAATGAGGTTCATATCGCTCTCGACCCACGTCATCTAGGATCAGAGCCACCAACAGGACTAAAGTTTTACCATGAATGCATGTGACATAATCATGCAACAAAACAATCCACATTGATATCTAAATTCATCAATGTGACACGACATTACAGGCCATCACGATTCGCACATGCAACATACAATTCATACAGGTCAACAATGAAGGTAGAGAAAAACACAAGAAAGAGGGGTTTGAAGAAAAAAATCCCCTTTAGAAAATTATTTTATTGAACTATGAAAGAATATAGAATGCAATAAATATAAAGAGACACATTCAGTTATCCAGGTTCACCATTAGCTAGGCTACTCCTGTCCATCCTCCTCGGGGTGATTTTTCCTTCAACAAGAACTTAATCCACTATAACCAAATTGATTACAATCGCACAGACTACCCATAGGTGACTAATAAACACAATGATCATCAACCATTGACCCCTTAAGAAATATGACTTACCCGGTCTTCTTAGCCGGATTTTACAATGACCCACATCCATTGTCATCTCAAGTCTTTTGATCTTTACTCGATCACTTGAGGAACAACACAATGATACATTCAACGATCTCTATGAGATATAATGATCATTGACCCTATCATAAATTTGATTACACCTGATCTTTCTATGATGGATTTCTTACAATGACCCTCAGCTAGTGATCTTCTAATAATTATAACCCACTTGGTACACTTAGTTATGTTAGCTATCATTGACCCCATAAGGATTTTGACCAACTGGTCTCCTTAGAATATGATCATCTATGATGGCCGTAGCCACGTATCTTCTTAAGCTTTTTGATCTTCTCTTGATTACTTAAGGAACCATCATATCTAATCAAAATTGTGTTTCTAGAGATTACATGAGTGCTTTTTATCAATCTGACCACTCCTGTCTTAAGTACATATTGTTTGACACAATTCTGAGTAACAACTCTTGTGTTCAAACAACTTATATTAAGATTCTTAAGAAATAACATAATCGGAGCAATGACTCTTGTGTTTTACAATCTTTCTACATAGATGAATATCATCTAAATTAAATGCAACATCTTATAGTCTTGTCTTCATCTTCTTTGTTGAGAAAGATATTAGCAATAAATTCTTGCCTCTTCATAATTCTTCCAAGATGTATATGATTGATAGTTGAATAACATCTTGTAGATTTCTTCATCTTCATCTTCTTTCTTCATTAAAAAAGATATGAGAAGAAGCTCCTTGCTAATTCATTTCATCTCAACAACGTTGTAAATATTTCCTATTAAGAATAACAAGGTTGTTTGGACTTAGACATTGTCTTCTTTGTTAATATCTTCGTCAATTTGAATTTGAAGTTTTAGTCATCTTTATATAGCATCTAGATGAAAAGAGTCATCGTAAGGATAGAGAAGTCTTTTCTCCTTCCAACGGTTGAATCCCAACGAATATATTCAAGAGAGGTTTGGAACAGTACGAAACGTCACTTTCCTATACTCGTTGCTTGCAGTAATGGTATACGTCAGTGGGATAACAACTACTATGAATAGTACTATTATTGAACTCTTTTCTTCTAGACTAAGTTTCTTGATCTTTATCTTCTGATGATGTACTTATGATTCTGAAGTATTAAGCTTTGAAGAGATCAATAACTTTGTCTTTGTTCTTCCGAGGACTGACTGATGATTAATTCAGAAACTACTTTGTTGTTGTAGCACAGGAACACCAGAGTGTCAGAACTAAATCTTGTCTTCAAAATTATGGGCAATAACCTATCTGAAACACAAAGCTTTTCTTATGATATAGAACTACTCTTGAAGGCATATTTATTTTATGATCTGAGAGATACATATTGTGTGTTTAGAAGATGTTTTTCTTCAATTACTTTCAATAGTGGATTCTTGTTTTCATAATGATCGACAACAACCTATTTGAATAAAACAAGTCTTGATAGTTCGTAAAAGCTTTTCTGATGAAGATATCAAAAGCTTTTCTGAAGATGGACATTAAAATTAGATATTACGACAACAGTCTATCTGATTCTCAAGTATTTGAATTCTTGAGCTTTGATTCTTTTCTTCTTCCTGGATTGTTTCTAATATAAGGAGTGATAATGATCTAGAAGATTCTTTTTTTTGTAGAGTCGTGGTCTTTTAGATATTTGAACATTGTCTCCAGATATATAACCAACAACTTATCTGATGAGCAATGTCTTCTTGAGAGTGAAAGCTTTTCTGATCTTGAATTATTGGTCTTGTTTTAAATTATTAATAATCATCTTTTCTAAGTTTCATATCTAATGTCTGGTTTATGAAGCAACCGCTTATATCAGTACATTTGATTTTTCATGTTGAATTCCTTCTTTCTAATCCTGACCTTGTTTTGATTCCTTGATAATCAACTTTTCTTAGCTGCATATTTGATGTATGGTTTCTGAAGCAAGAACTTATATCAGTACATCTGATTTATCATTGAATATCTTCATTTTGATCTCTTGATCTTTGTATTGATTCCCTTTCTTATGAACATTCAACATTCCCTAGAACTGTTGATGTTTCTATAGAAGTGGTCACAATATTTCTTCTGTTGAGTGCAGTGGTCTTTCTGATGACATTTATCTTATAATGAATATTACTTTTGTTGAGTAGATTAGCTTGAGAATATATCATCCTTTGATCTTATCTTTTGATGGACTTTGAGATGTTGATTAGATGTGAGTCTACAAGACCTTTCTTCATTTCTTCTGATGGAATACTTCTGATGTTGAATGAAAGTATGTATTCCATGAGTTCTTCGAGTCTTCAGAATCTTGACTTTGTCTTCAGAACTATGAGCATCAACTCTTCTGATGATCAAATCTTGACTGATGATCTTTGAGTAGAATATTTCTTCACATATGTTCAGAGTCTTGACTTCGTCTTTAGAATCTAAGCAGCAGCTCTTCCAATGACCGAATCTTGACTTCTGATCTTCTGCATTGTAAGCTTGTTTCTTGTATACTATTGATTTCTGATATTGTAGTAGCAGCTTATCAGAAACTCTTTCTTCTTGTAAACTCATCGAGATTCTTTTCTTGTCGAACATTCAACATTCCGTAGAACTACTCATGTTTCATTAGAAATAGAACTCAATGGTTCTTCTTTTGAGTGATAATGTGATTCTGATGATATCTTGATTAAGACTATCTAGAATTCCAATCATGTATCTGCACACTCAATGAAACCATTAGAATTAAAATTGTTCTTCATAAAATACATGCTTGTTATCATTAAAACTCATAGATTTAAACATAGATCTAAATCTTGT